AGAGAGAGAGGAGATATATATATATATATATATATATATATATAGGAGTGAAAAGTGAAGGACGTGAGGGAGATAGAAGGGCTTAAGCATCCCCCCAAGTGGCAGGTAGCAGCCCAAGCTGACGGGTAGCAACCAACTCCCATGCTACTGGACAAGTGGCGAACACTTAATCATGCATGGTAATGCCGCAGCCGGCGCTATGCACACGACGATGCCCCTTGTTCACTCGCGCCATTGTGTTCTTGCTGTCGTGCGCACACTACCGTGCTCTCTTCTGCCGCTGCGCACTTACTACTGCCGTGCGCTTACCATCGTTGCGTGCTCACTATCGCCTCGCGTGAAAGTCTGGGTCCTTACACCAATGTAGATTATCATTTTTGGGGAGAAGCTATTATGGTGGCAACTTATATATTAAATAGAGTGCCTTTGAAATCAACCAATATATGACCCTTTAGGCTATAGTTTGGTAGAAACTCAGCCTAAATCATGTCAATGATGGAAATGTGGCCTATTAGGCCCTTCTTCTCCCGAAAATTCATTTTTCAATAATGGTACAGAAGCCATATTGAAGTATATGGAAATCCCATGTAGTTAACACAAGGAAATTCCATATACATGAATCCAGCTTTTAGCTTTAATAGGATGTATCACTGGAGGGAAAAACCTAGTATCACTGGAGGGAACCCTAGTGGTGTGTTTGGATTCCTTGTAAACTATGGGAATGCTTGGATGACATCCTATTATATGAGTCATTAATAGACTAATGACATGTTTAGCTCATTATATAGGATTAACAGTTTGGTGACAACTTGTTAATCCTAATTAGCTGCACTTAAAGGAATTAAGGCAGGAGTTACACTTGGATATCAACTCCTATAGACCATGAATGTGAGAGTTACTAAATACAGGTGTTCTATATAAAAAGTAGTTAACCCCACAAGTAAAAGATAGAGAGAATGATAGAAAAGAAGTGAAGGAGATTCACTACGAGGACTCTCAAGGTAGCCTGTTACCGGATGGCTTGGTCCATAGGATTTGGTATAGAACCTTAGGTCCCTCGTGTGATTTAAGGATAGATCCGAGTAAGTTGTTTATCGATTTCAATTTTATTTATTTGTTATTATTTTTATGGGACTAACAATGGAATCAGAGCTAAGTTTGTAGATTTATGTTTGTAAAAGAGGATATCCATGTAGAAAATAGGTCTACATTAATAACGTGGGATGTGTCCTAACAACAATTGGATTAAGTTTATGGATATGAGCCACTGGATGCATTCTTATCCAATGCATTATTTGTGGCTTTTCATATTATTTTTTACTTACTTTAATAAAACCAAGATTGAACTTAGAGATATCATACAATATTCATATAGATTTATTTTCTATGTGATTACTCTTGTATAAATTAGAAATAGACCTATGTGTGAACTTATGATTATGTAAACTGCTTAATAGCTAAGTGGTTATTGAGTTCTTGACTTGGAATTACCAATCTTAAGATCATTTCCATAAAACAAAGATAGTTATATATGTCAGGGACCAATGCTTGCAGTCAATACATTTTTTAGGACCATATGCCCTGGTAATTCAAGTTTTAAAGCTTGGCCTTTCTTACCTTCAGTGTTATCCAGTTGTTCATATATATAAATAAATCATGCAACTCACATTGACAATTCCTTCTCTCTTATCTATTAGAAAAAGAAAAAAGAATCCATTATTTCTTCTATAGGGGTCCTTTGGTTATTCCAATCATGTATGAGTAGTGAAGGATGCCGATAATACAAATCAAGTGTCGGGTACAACAATCCTTCTAGCCTATCATCTTTACATGCCTTCAGAGTATTTTATGACCTGTATTTTAAAAAATATTATAATGATTAATTTTCCCAAATTCTATTATGTAAGCTCTTTATTGTCTTAAATTAGAATTTAGCAGGTGTCAATTATAAAGCATTTGTGGTAAGTTTTTTATTCCCTT